TCAGGAGGCTGAGGCAGGAGAATCGCTAGAACCCGGGAGGCAGAGGTTGCAGTGAGCCGAGATTGTGCCATTGCACTCCAGCCTGGGCAACAAGAGCAAAACTCCATCTCAAAAATAAATAAATTAATTAAGTTAAATTAAATTAAAAATAAAGAAAAATACTTCTAATTAAACTATGACACAATGCTAAGGTATCATCAGTTGTAAGTGCATCATAATTTTGGAGATACTAAACAAGTCTATCTTATGATGAATGAATACAATAGTGCTGCTTAGTACCATGACAATATTTAATATAAACCCAAAATTTGGCTCCAAAATCACTGGGTAACACGTTAAAATACAAAATATATTTATAACGAATTCATTTAAATTATCAGTGACCTGAAAACAACATTTAAAAGACATTTCTAGGGAACTTGTGAAACCTAAAAACATATACATGCATTCCTGGTATTCCACCAACACTACTTTGAGAAACACTGACTTAGGCTTCATGTCTAAACCACAGTAACATCACTGAGACATCAGAAATGTCGTAGAAATTGACAAGATCACAGCAAGGAAGCATTCTCAATTCTTAAAAGAGAACAAAGACCCTACACCTAAGAGAAATTATTTTAACATTTTGTTTACCAAATGCCACTTGTGTATGGTAGAATGACACCTTAGAAAAAAAGGAAACCAAAAATTTTTGACTCTGCCATTTTGAAAACTAAGGGTGTTCACTTTCAATAATTAACTGCTATATTCCAACACTATTTTAGCATTTTATGTACATTACCCCAATGTGATATTATCCACATCTTCACAATACATCTATAATTTTAATGCATCTCCCTTTTTGGTGTAAATATTTTCCACTCAGTATGTGTTCAAAAAATATCCATATAAACTCTGCCATTCTATCATCTCCTTAACTTCCAACCTTACCTGAATTCGACATTTTTCTTTCCCAACAATTACACAACTCAACATCTATTATAGATAGGAAAACATACATGAGAATAAAAGAATAAATATTAAATTCATACATTATCATTTTACCAATAAATAACTACTCTTCTCATTTGGGTATATAGCCTTTGAGAAGTTTTAATGCATATAAAGCTTGATACTTCTCAAAAATGGGATATACTGTGTATATAGTCATGTAACCACCTTTCCTATTTAAAATTATATGCTGCATTTTTTCCATGTAAATAAATGTAGCTGTCAATCAATATTTTCAATGGCTGCAGAATATTTAAATATGCAGATATATCTTAATTTTATGGGTAAAAAGTCGATAGAGAACTAATAACATTCTCGGAGTATGCAGCAGAGTTTATGCAGAGATAATTTAGATATGTTTTCTTCATAAAAAGTGTGGCATGTGATTTTACAGCCTACTTTTCCCACTTAAGATTATATGCTGCCGTTCTCTCTTATTTGTGGAAGATAAAAATTCAAACAATTGAACTCATAAGAGAGTAGAATGACGGTTACCAAAGACTGAGGGGAAGTGGGAAGTGGGAATGCTTAATGGGTACAAAAAATGGATAGACTACAGAATGGGAGAAAATTTTTGAAGTCTACTCATCTGACAATGGTCTAATATCCAAAATCTACAAGGAACTTAAATAAATTTACAAGTAAAAAACAAACAACCCCATCAAAAAGTGGGCAAAGTATATGAACAGTCACTTCTCAAAAGAAGACATTTATGTGGCCAAGAAACATGAAAAAAGGCTCAACACCACTGATCATTAGAGAAATGCAAATCAAAACCACAGTGAGATACCACCTCACACTAGTCAGAATGGCTACTATTAAAAAGTCAAGAAACAACAGATTCTGGCAAGGCTGTGGAGAAATAGGAACACTTTTACACTGTTGGTGAGAATGTAAATTAGTTTAACCATTGTGGAAGACAGTGTGGTGATTCCTCAAGGATCTAGAACCAGAAATACCTTTTGACCCAGCAATCCCATTACTGGGTATATACCCAAACGATTATAAATCATTCTACTATAAGGACACATGCATGCGTATGTTTATTGCAACACTATTTACAATAGCAAAGACATGGAACCAACCCAAATGCACATCAATTATAGACTGGATAAAGAAAATGTGGTACATATACACCATGGAATACTATGCAGCCCTAAAAAGTAATGAGATCATGTCATTTGCAGGGACATGGATGAAGTTGGAAGCCATTATCCTCAGCAAACTAACACAGGAACAAAAAACCAAACACCGCATGTTCTCACTCAGAAGTGGGAGCTGAACAATGAGAACACATGGACACAGGGAGGGGAACAACACATGCCAGAGCCTGTTGGGGGGTAGGGGACAAGAAGAAGGAACTTAGATGACAGGTTAATAGGTGCAGCAAATCACCATGGCACACGTACACCTATGTAACAAACCTGCACGTTCTGCACATGTATCCCGGAACTTAAAGTAAAATAAAAATTAAAAATAAATAAATAAAACTAAATGGTTAGAAATAATGAATAAGATCTAGTATTCGATAGCTCAACAGGGTGACTATAGTCAATAATAATTTAATTGTACATTGTAAAATAGCTAAAAGAGTATAACTGGATTGTTTGTAACACAAAGGATAAATGCTTGAGATGATCGATACCCCATTAACCCTGATGTGATTATTATACATTGCATGCCTGTATCAAAATATCTCATGTAACCCATAAATATATACACCTATTATATACCCACAAAAATTAAAAATTATTTTTTTAAAAAAAACTATATGCTGAATTTCTGATGTAGGTAAATGTAGATGTCCATCAATATTTTCAATAGCTGCATCATATTTAAATGTGTAGACATACATTAATTTATTTAGCTAACTGCCTATCTTGAGATACTTGAGTCATTTACAACTTTACACCTTTCAAAACAGTTTGAAGATGCACAGCTTCCTACAAGCCAATTATGTGATTATTTCCTAAAGATACATTTCTACAAGTGGAATTACAGGGTCAAAGGATGTGCATATATTCCAATGGACCTTGTACCAGTGTATACTCCCACCAGCAGTTTGAGAGTGCTCCTCCCCTGACACCCTCACCCTCACTAAGGCGTGGGAGTGAGGTAGATTTTCTATGTGTATCCCAACAACACTCTCTATGGTTCCATAAAGGCCCCACCTTAACCAACCTTATAAAGGAAATCTGATACAAGCACTAAAACTTATTCTTTCTTATTATTCCAAAGTTGTAACTGTTTACTTACATGAATACCAGAACTGGCCAAGAGGACATTTTTCTGTCAGATACCCCAAAGACCCTAAAATAAAATTGGTCCTCTTTGTATGTCTCCAGAATACATCTCAGCACTTTTTGGTTCAAAAGGTCTCTCATTTCCATCCTCTCTTTACCATTCCCATGGCCACCAGTAAAACTTCACACCTTTATTATCTCATGCCTGGACTAACTTGTGGTAGCTTCCTGTTTTTTCCAATCTCCAGTCACCACTCCTATCCCCACCCCAGCTTGGACTCCTGTCGCACATAAATCTACCATATCGTTTTCCTTTCATCTTGTCATTCCTCTGATCACAAAAGGCCTTGATGTCTCCCAGGGGTGGATGCAGTAATATTCACACACCCCAGTTTAGCAGTTAGGGGTGCTCCATGAACAGGACTCACCTTTACCGCCTGACTCTCTCTGTCATCACTACCCTCCCTACACTTACCATTCCAGCAGGTCAGCACTTCTCTCTGGAGAAGGATTCCCATCTCCATGCCTTTCTTTTCATCCCTCCTCCTGTCTTGAGTGCCCTTCTGACTTTTTGTATCCTGTCCTTCAAACCCAGCTTACTTAAGAGTTCTCCTTTGTAAAACTTTCCTTGCGCACTGTTGCCTGCAGCTGTTTCTGCTGCCTCTAAGCATTGATGGTCTCCTGGGTTTGTTAATATCTCTTTGTTTTAGTTTCCATATACCTTACCTTTCCAAACAGATCATAAACTGAAGGACAAGGACAATGTCTTTTTTTTCTGCTGCTTAAAACACAACTTTATTGATGGAACACAAGTCTTAGATTAACAAATATAAACTAATATAAAAGTGTAGCTTATTCATGATGTATAACTAATTCATTGTCAGTTTAGGTAGAGGAAAGAGTAAAAATATCTCAATCTAGGTAATAAGATCAAATCAATAAATTCTTTCTGTGTACAAGTACTAATATTCCATTTGGCATCCTTAAAATGGTTCATCCTCAACCCAACCATTAAAACCAACATCAGTCACTGTTATGATATATGATAGTCATTATTCCAAAATAGCAGCTGAAAAGATCTCTTTACCATATATTCACAATGAAAAACAAAGAATTTACAAAACACATCATACCAAGTGCAAATACCTCAATACTCTTTGGGACAGACTCCAAATTAGAGTTTGGTTAATACTTTCAGGACTTTTACTTTCACCACCAGATCATTGTGATTTGCTAGTGCTTTGATTTTCTTAACACAAACTCCAGACTCTTTGAATAAGAAAAAAAGTGAACTTCTGCTGAATTCTTTCCTGGATGATGCAAGCCCTTCATTTTTTATGTTGTCATTTATATTCTCAAATAGGGTAAGGATATTAAGAAGAATCTCTCTATCCCATTCTTTATTAAAAAGGGAAATCAATTCTGATGGTACTTTACAACTGACCAGCTCTCTTGTCATGGCTGGATTTTCAGTAAAGTTTATAATTAGTTTCATAGTCTGTATCTTGGTGAAGTGATTTCCCAGGAATAACAAAGCAAAAAAGTCTGGAAAAGAATAGGAAAGCAAATGTTGGTAATGATTAGTCACAGTCATGTTGGTTAACAGTCTTAACCCAGCCATCTGCACAGCTGAGTCCAAGCGACAGACCATGGTGTCATCACACACTTGACTGATGTACGTCTTAATCTTACCCTGATTTTCTGCATTCACACTCAAGTTATTAAGGGCATTGTAAGTCTTTTCTCTAATTATGGGATCTTTCGTTTTTATCAGTTTTGCAATAATTGGGACACCACCCAATTCACGTATGGCATTCTGGTTAAATGAATATGCTGCATTGTTACCCAGAGTGACCAAGGCTACTTCTTGAATAAAAGGATCATTTGTTCGCTCCAGTATGTTGAGGACCTTTTGAAGATCGGGAGCACTCAGAATATCATCAATTTTATAAGGAAAGTTGAACTTGCCTCTGCGGACAGGCCATGTTGTAGCTGGAGCCCTGGTGCTCTTACTTCGGGCCTTTCCCTTGGATTTTCCACTTGCCCTGCTCCCAGCCCTAGATCCACTCCTGGTAGGGTGGCAGCCTCCACCCCTGCCTCCTGGGCAGGGTAAACTCGGTGCAAGGGTCCTGTTCCCAGAGATGGTACCCACCCTAGCCCCTTTGCCTGCCTTTGCACTTGCCTGTTCCTTCAGCGTGTTGAAAAGGGCCTTGGCCTTGGCCTCTAGGCCACCTCCACTGTGGGATCCTGAATGGGCCTTCTCTTTTACACCTGGACAATCCTCGAGTCCCAAACTCACCTCAGGCTTGACCTTTGAATCACCCTGAAGTTTGGCCCCAGACCCTGCCCCAACGTTAGTTTTAGCTCCTTTCACAGTCTCAACCCCAGTCTCTGAGGTGTCCGTAGACTCCTCGTCTTCATCCCAGATTTTCTCGTTCTCGTCTCTTCCCCAGGCCAGTCTGTATACACAGTAGCAGGCACCAGCCCCGATAACCACACCAGCGGCCACGCAGCCAGCTTCCCGAGTGCGGCCCATGGTATAGCCGGGACAAATCTCTTAACCGGAGCACAGAACAGGCTCGCTCTGGCCCAGAGAAGCGCGAACACGTCGCGGGCGGAGTCTGCAGCTACTGCTGGCCGGCTCTGAGGCAGCTTGACCTAGGAATAAAGGATGCAGTTCAGATTTCAGGCTCCTCCTCCTTTTGTGTCTTTGCCACGCAAACAGACTGAAACAACGGCAAAACAAACAAACGTACAAAAATACAGATATATTGGCAAACTCGGGGCTTAATATCTAGATCACTGATTCCTTTCTTCCATCCGGAAGCTAAGTTTGGAAATTTTCCCCACTTCAAGACTCTCCAACCTCACGTTCCACCACGTCGCCCCAGAATGTTAAAGTTCCCTGCCATCCTGCCCTTCAGATGTCCTGGGAACAGTGGCGCTCCCACATGCACCCACAGAGGTCCAGGCAGTTTTTTCCTTCTCTTTCTTGCTTCCAAGGGCACTGCTTCGTGCAAACCTGCAGACAAGGACGCGAGGAGGGGGTGCCGAGAGCTAGGGGGACATACAGATATCACCCGGGACGGGACATACATCCCTCTTCTGAATTCCTAGCCCTTTACAACTGCCTTGCCCGATGTTTCCCGCCTTTGGTTGCCCTCCACTCCTCACAGAGGTGCGGCTTTGGAATTCATTGTCTCCCTCCCTCTTCCTCCTTCGATGATTCCTCTAACCCTCCATTCCACCTCCACCCCTACTCTTATCATTGGCATCCTCCGAAGATGTCGCCACACATTTTCATTGTTAACATTTTCCTTGTAACAAAATGAAGTGAGAATATCTAAAAGCCAGACTGGCGTGAAATGCGTAAAGGTCCCCAACTCTGTCCTTGCCTCCGCCAACTCCTCCATCTCAAAGGTACCAGGACACCCCCACTCACCACCCCCCACCCCCGCCGTGTCATTATACCAACTACCTCTGCTCGGGAGCAATTTCTTACCTCCCTTACCTCAGTTTCTGCTTCCACTAAACCTTCAAGACTAACAAACTTCAGAAGTGAGTGCTTGGTCGACGGACCAACACCAAGGACACTGTACCTCAAACAGTAATTTGGAGTAACGTCCTCCCAACCCCTGGACTCTCTTGACGCCCAACCCTTCTCAGCTATTTGCTTCCCTGTCTTGTACCTGCAGAGCAATTTATTTTGCAAGATCCGAAATTGTGTAGGTAAGAAGGGAAGAAGGGAGATGTGGAGGGGGTCCACGGGCCCACTCGAGTTGCAGTCGCCACCATGCTCCACCCCCAAATAATGCCATCACCCTTATTATGACCTACTTGGTTCTTGACAACTTTGCGTATCTTCCTGCTCCAAGGGTTGGACTGGCCTCCGGCCCCAAGATCTGCAGACACAAGCAACAAGGCAGAAACTGATGGCTCAGCGGACAGAAAAGCACTTCGGAGAGTCCCAACATCCGCTTTTCCTAATTCAGGGTCCTGGCTGTCAACGGAGTTTACCTTTTTGTCTGTCACCCTACCCTCACTTCTCTGGACTCGGCTGACACCAGCCCTCCCGCTACGTAGTGTTGCCCCACCCCGGTCCCCGCCTCCGGCCCTCCCTCCCGCAGCCCCAGCGGTCGGCCATTTTCCCAGCAAAAACCACACCCCTTTCAAACCACTGGAAGCGGGGCGGGGCGGGGCGGGGGGGGGGATATGGAAAATCCGAGGAGAAAAACAAAACCAACCGATCTCTTCTATCCCTCTCCCCAACGCACCCTACCCGCAATGACAAGCACTTTTCCTGCAGGCACTGTTACATCCTTTTTTCCTAAAGGAAAAAAAAAATGGCAGGAAGATTGCTTGAGAGTCGGTAAAGGGCCCAAGTTAAGGCAAGGACCTCAGTCATCCCAGTCCTTCCGGGGGCCGCGGGACAGCCCCAGCTTTACACTGACCTGCAGGGATTCCAGGCAGACTATTCCTTTGTTCCCAAATGGCACAGCGCCCTACTGAAAGAAAAGGGGAATGACTGTCAGACAGACGCACAGCCCCAAGATTCTGGCTTGGTAGATGGACCAGCACACAGGATACGAATCCGAATATCTGCCCTCCCTGATTCAAGGCCCAGGATGTTAAAGGTCCCACCACGCCCGAGTCTGGGGTCGCCCCTGGAATCCGGCCCCAAGGTCCACCATTTTTGTTCTAGAAAGGGACAGGAATACTGCAAGGGTTTGGAGAAAGCGAACTGCTCCCCCTTCGGCCTCCACCCTTCACTGCCCGCGCCGCAGGGATCCCCTGGCAACGCCCATCCACACACAAACCTGCTGGGATCCAGGCAGTAACCTCGTCCTCCTTCCCCCAGGCCACAGGCCCTCTCGCCCTCTGGGCGATAGAGAGAGTGCAACCGGACCAAACGAAGACTAAGATTAGAAGGACGTCTGCACGCGTCGGCTCCAGCTCACGTGAGGGCCACGTCAACCGTGAGATCAGGACCCCAATTACCACTCCCATCAGCAGTGCCGCAGAAGCCGGCCCTCCCCTTCCTTCCCTGACACATCAGGTCCTGCCACTCATTTTCCTCTTTGCCAATCCCGGAGACCAGAAGTAGCTTCCCTTTGTGGTTGAAATTTGCCTTTCTTTGGCTTACAGGGAGAGGCTGTATCTGCTCCCGTGTCCGTTGGCCTTTACTTCCTCTTCGAGGAATAGTTTTTTATCTTCTCTCCTCTCAGTCCAACTGTCTCTCTCTATACCTCCCCCCACCACTAGTCATGAATGTCCAATATTTCTTCTGCACCACTGTAAAATGTGGAGCAAGGTGTTGGAAAAGGAGACAGATCGTGGGAGTGTCTTATTTAAACTTTTCTGCTCATTTGTTTTTAAATCAATAATGCATTACTTTTATATTGAGAAAATAAAATGATGCTATTTTCCTTTGAGTAGAGAGTTTAAACGGGAGAGAAAACCCAAAAGGCCTCATTAATTTCATTATTTTATTTGTAACAGAAGGAAAATATTTCTACTGGTTACAGCCAAATAGTAGCTTTTAAAACAAAATAACTCATTTTTAAAACTGAAAAGCGGGCTGAGGTGGGTGGATTGCTGGAGCCCAGGAGTTTAAGGCTGCAGTGAGCTATGATCTCACCACTGCACTCCAGCCTGGGTGACAGAGAGCAAGCCTCTATCTCTTAAGAAAAAAAAATGGATTTTTTTACATGATCTATGAATTAGTCCACAAAGAGACAACCAGTTGTCTAATCTTGGCCGTTTTACACAAATGATTCCTTACTTTTTCAATTTTTGAATCAACTTGCAATTTGATAAGATAAAAGCAACACAACCCTGTCTTATTTAATTAAAGCATGTATTTAACATCCCAAAGTCTTGACCAACTGTTATATGAACCTATGGTGATCTGATGATGGCTACTCTGATCACCTGCCTTTGAATTGAATTCCAGTCTACCAAGGCTGAGGCACCTGAGGGTGTGAGGGATGCAGAGATGTTCTAATCCTCCCTGCCCTGTCAATAGCGGAAGAAGGTGCTGCCCTCCCACCCTTCCACATTCCATAGCCTCTCATCCCCTGTATTCAGGCACTGGTCTGTTGTTCACTCCAAAAATATATATAGATGAGTGACCTAGGTGGTAAATGCCACGTTTACTCAGGTGACCAATCAGAGTAAAGACCTCTGGCTCCTTCCCTTCCTTCCTCAGATTCCCACAGAGGTAACTCAGCAATGCATCCAAGGCCTTACTGTTCCTACCTACGCCTCTTGCCGTTATTCATGGTGCCTGAGTAGTTGCTCCTAGTACTGTGTGCTGCCACCACCTGACCAGAGAGGTGCAGCCCGCTGGGCTTCTTGGCCTCTGGCTTCCTTAAAAAGAGAACCTAATCTTGTTGCAGAGTTACTGCCTGCCAGTTCATATCCACCTTGGTGCCCACTCAGCCAAATGTATGCCCAAGGAACAATCCCCACGGATTAACCCAGAGTAGGCATTCTCACACGGACAACCTTGTGGACCACCTGCGATTGTGTGCATAGGTATATTCATTTTCGTGGAGAAAGGAGCCATAGCTTTCATCGGATTCTCACAGGCATGTATGACTTTTAAAAAGTAAGAACTACTAATACTTTCCTGAAAAAAAAGCTATATATTCCCTCAACAGAAAATCTACTCCTGCCCAGCACTGTGGGATGCTGAAGCTGGCGGATCACTTGAGGTCAGGAGTTCGAGGCCTGGCCAACATGGTAAAACTTTGTCTTTACTAAAAATACAAAAATTAGCTGGGGGTGGTGGCGCGCACCTGTAGTCCCAGCTACTTGAGAGACCGAGGCAGGAGAATTGCTTGAACCCAGGAAGCAGAGGTTGCAGTGAGTTGAAATTGTGCCACTGCACTCCAGCCTGGGCAACAGAGCAAGACTCCATCTCAAAAAAAAAAAAAGAAAAAGAAAAAGAAAGAAAGTCTATTCCTCTCCCCTCTTGTCTGTCTCTAGTTATATACTTATTTTTTTAAGTGCAGAAATCTGTAAAGTAGAATGCAAAACAGCCCTGCAATGCCTATTCTGCTGCCAAGCTCTTTCAATGATATCCACCTTTCTTCCTGCAAATATACAGTATATGTATGTGGATGTGTCAAGTTCCAAGTCGAACAATATACAAAACAAAACAATTGACATTTACTGTAGTACTTGCAATAAATCTGCACTTTAATTAGAGAATTTATATCTTTAAAAACGGAGTCTTTCTATCCATGCCAACTTTTGAGATTTTCAATAAATGTTATGTTTCTTTATACTCATTTCTTATTATGTTTGTGTTTTGTTTATATGAATGACATTCCCATTATGATTGCATGCTCTACCTGGTTATTGTTTGTCTCAGGTAAAGTAATTAATTATGATATATTTATCTTTAGAGACCATTCTTATTATTTCTAATAGTTTTTTCATTGATACTTTTGGTTTTTCTAGGTATGCATGCATAATATCTGCAAATGATGATTTTTCATTTCTTCTTCATGAGTATTTATATTCCATATTCTTTCATTTTCTGCATGTATTCCATTGACCAGAACCTCCAGAATTAGCTTGAATGATAATGGTGATTGAGGGCCTCCAGATCTTATTCTTGAAGTAAATGGGAGTGCCCTTAATATTTCATTGTTTAGTGTAACCTGACATTTGCTGTTTGTTTTTCATGTGTTCTTCATCTGTGTATGGATGATTTGGGGGGATGCCTAAAGCTGCACTTTTATAACCCTTTATATAAGACTGAGGAAAATTAAATTGTCCACATCATAATACTGGGAAGGAAAAGAAGTAGGGAGAGTGGCCACAAGTGCTGAGCTTATTGGGAATGTATTGGTAAGCAAAAACAACACAGACTCTTCTCTCATGGTGGAAATAAGACCTTAATAAAATAAGTGTGCGCGCACACACACACACACAGAGAGAGAGACAGAGAAATACTGTAAAGGAAAAAACCTCTGTTAATGTAGTTTTTAAAATAGTGGCATAGTCTGAGAATCAGGGAAAGTTTCCTTACTGGGGCGGAGAGAATGAAGTTTTCAGCTGAGATGAAGGAAAGCAGGTGGTAACTAGGAAAAGAGGGGAACAGAAAATAAAAAATCTCAATTTCCCCCACCCTTCTGATAACTACTGTGATAACCAATCTACTTCAATCCTAGGATAAATCCTATGAAAACCACTGTTAATTTTTCAGGTGACTCTTTCCAGGTTTTGTTGTTGTTTCATATATATTACCAAACAATATATGTAGATACATTATGTGTGTGTGTACACATATATCTTTCTAAAATAATTTGGGATTATATTATGCATATTATCCTGCATAACTATTTTTTTCACCTGATATGTCATGTAAATCTTTTTAGCAGACACACTAATATTCTGTAGCGTGGATTTACCAGAATTTAACCAATCTCTTACTGATTGATATTTAGCCTCTTCCTAATCTTTATCTACTATAAAAATGTTGCAGTGAGGACTTTTGTATACATATATTTTGGCAACTATGATATTATTTCCTCAAGATAAATTCCTAGAAGTAAAATACTTGTGTCAAAATGGGTGTTCATTTTAAATTTTACCCATGCTGCCAACTTTCATCTCTTAAATTTATAAATATATACATCGACAGATAGATACATACATACATACATATATATATATATGTGCATTCTATGTTGTGCTGCAAATAATTTATTTAATTATAAGTGAGATTAAACATCTTCTCAGAGGCTTGTCAAGCATCTGTATTTATCTTTCTGTGTACTGTCTTTCCTCATTTTTTAACTAGGTTGTTCATCTTTTTCTTACTAATACATAAGAACTTTCTGCAAATTAAGCAAATGAGTCTTTCGACTTTCATAAGTGTTATAAATATTTTCCTGATTTATAAATTTTTTGGACTTCTACTATATAGAATTTTTCATCTTTACAGTACAAAATTTACCAACTTTTTTCTTTACATTTTTGAGGTTTGTGTCCTGCTTAGGGAGATCTGTGTTTTCTCCTAATTTTTATGTTTCCTTTTATATTTATTTTTGGTCCATATGGAATTATTTTCTTCCAAATGGCTAGTAAATTGTCCTAATGCTAATTATCAGATAATCCCCTCTTGAGCTCACTGATTTAAAGTGCCATCTTTACCATAATTATCATAATCTACACATCCACATATGTTTGTATCTAGTTCTTTATTCTTTATTATATTCTTTTAATCTGTTATCTTTTCTTTCTTCTTAAATAACAAACTGTTTTAACTGTAGTGTCTTCATAATAGGTTTCAATATCTGAAGGGTAAGGTCTCTCATAACTCATCTTTTTTATCATTACCTGCCTAGTCACATGTATTTACTTACTGACTAAAATCTGTTATTTTGTTACAGTCCCCTAAAAACTACCGTTTTTAATTTCAATTTGTGTTGCATATAATTTATAAGTTAACTGAGGGATAATTGGCATCTTCACAGGAATATCTTTCTATACAACAACCTAGTTTTTCTACTTATTTGTCTTTATTTTTCTCAGCAGAGTTTCTGCAGTTTTTTAATAAAAATAACTCCTAGAACATTGCCTGGCACACTGTAGGTTATCAATCAATATTTACTGAATGAATGGATATGTCTTACAAATTTTTTGCTAAGTTTATTCAAAAGTAGCTTATCTTTTCCCGTGCCTATTGTCATTTGGATTTTTTCTTTTTTTACATTTTTGTTTGTTGTTTTTATATATGAAAGTGATCAGTTTTTAATCTATTGATTTCATAACCAGCCTTTTTATGGAGTTCCAAAGGTTTCAAGTAGTCTTTAGTTGATTTTGTTAGATTTGCTTCATTTGTAGTAATGATAATCTTGCCTGCCCCCTCCTTTCCAATATTAATATTACATTTATTTCTCTTGGTTAACTGCATTAACTAGTACTTCTAGAACTAGTACTTCTCTTGGTTAACTGCATTAACTAGTACTTCTAGAACTAAAGAAATAACTGGTATTCTTGCCTTTTTCCTAATTTTAATGGAAATGTTTCTAGTGTTTATCCCTTAAACATGAAAGGCTTCTTGTTAGAAATGTATATATTTTGTCATATTTAAGAAATATTCACCTATTCTTACTTCAGTAAGTTGCATCCAGAAGTTATCCGACTTTAAGTACAATTTGACTAAGATTCTGCTTCATTCCTTACATATAAGCTTTATCCTTGACTGTGCATTGTAATGGTATCAAAATAGCTGCAGTAATTCTAGGCCTCATACCAGCACCTCAGTCAGAGTCCTAGCTAGAAAAAACAATCTAAATCAGATGGTTCAAGGGACTTTAATGTAGAGATTACTTACAGAGGGAAATGCAAGATTATGAGACCCAACAAG